CTGGGATTTCAGTGCTGTCCTGTGGAGCAGATAAGAGTGATTTGGAAGGCCGGGAGCTGGCAGGGAAGGAGCTGTGGTACACTTGGGGCTGTCTCCTGGGACTCACCACTTCTCCTCCCAAAATCCCACCCCGAGTGCTGCCCCACAGCTCCAGAATCCCCATGGGCTCCCCCATCGCCACCCTCTGCCTTCCTGTGGTGCAGAGGACCTGGTTCTTTTTCTGAAGAGTTTTTGGAGCTGTTCCTTCCCCAAGGAGCAATAACCACAGGTTTGGGTGCGTGGTAGTTGTCCTCAGTGCTGGTTTGCTTCTCCCCTCGCTGGGGACACCACAGCCCATGTGTGCAGTGCTAGCAGGATGCCAGAGTCTCCCTGTTTCACACACTCTGCTGGCTCATGCTTTAGGCCTTATCTAGACCACACAGAGCTCCTGCCCTGCATAATCATTACAGGAAATAGTATTTTTATCTTGGAAGTGTAGGTATTGCCCAGTGGTTGTGGGGAAATGATCCCTACCTCCTTGCTGCCCCTCGTGCCGGTGATCTCCAGCTCTCCCGACCAGCACTGAAATCATAGAGTCCTGGAATGGTTTGGGTTGGAAGAGACCTTAAAGCAACCTGCTCTAGTGGAAGGTGTCCCTGCCCGTGGCAGGGGTTGGGGCTGGAGGAGCTTTAAGGTGCCTTCAACACAAACTATTCCAGGATTGTGTGATTTTTTTAAAAGAATAAACAAATCGGAGCTCTGGAATATGGTTCAAGGTAAGGGAATCCTTGCAGAGGGTCCCCCTCATGTTTCTTCTGACACTCTCTTATGCGATGATCATCTCAGCATCCAAGTCTCAGAAGCTGGTGTGTGCTTTTGGCGTGGAGCTGCTGTGCTTGTGCGTGGAGCCCCGGCACCAGCTCGGCTTCGCAGAGCTCTCTCCTCCCAGGCTGAATCCAGCAGCCAATGTATCCTGCTTCTGCAGAGCACAAACATTCTGCTGGGCTTGTCATGCCCTGGAAACTCAGAACAGAGCCCGAAAGCAGGTGAAAATACCTGCTCATTAATGTAGCAGCAGGAACTCGGGGGAATACTTCTATCCATCTGGGAAGTCACTTTTTCATTAGGACACCCAAGATTTCACTGGGGGAAACCATCTGCCTGGATCACAGCTTATGGCAAATATTTTCCAGTTGTTTGAGCACAGAGAACCTGCCTGGTAGTTCTATTTCCCTTCAGAGGTGTTCACAGAGATGCTACTCAAAGGCTTCCATCTCATTCTTCATTTGCTCTGCTCTGCTTTAGGTATTTGCATGTGAAGATTGAACACAAGATCCTTCCAGCATCCCGGGATGCTGAAATCCTCCCTTATGGTGCCCTGCAAAGGGAATATAAATGAAATTTGTAGGGATTTGACTCTGTATGACAGAAAAGCTAGACTTGAGGATGGGTTTTTTTCACTTCTATTGGCCAGATTAGGATGATTTGTTACAGGATGAGGTGTAAAAGGTTTTCCAGACCCCAGCAGCCACACGGTGAGGTGCGTTTCCCTTCCTTTGTGCAAACAGTGAAGATGTACATGCCTATATGTATATGCAATCCTCTAACCTGGGTTAAACTGCTGCATAACTAAACTGTAACCCCTCTTGTTTCTAACTGATGTGTTTTCCTGTGTTCCAGAGCCTAGCCCAGCTAGAGAACCTGTGCAAGCAGCTGTATGAGACCACAGACACTGCGACACGGCTGCAGGCAGAGAAAGCCCTGGTTGAGTTCACCAACAGCCCCGACTGCCTGAGCAAGTGCCAGCTGCTTCTAGAAAGAGGGAGTGTATGTAAAGCAATATAATTGTCCAAAGTGTGTCTTGATATTTTGGGCATTGATAAGGGAAGCAGCCTCAAGGTCTGGTATGCAGTGTTTATATCCCATACCCACTGTGCTCTCATGTATCTCAATCCGTGGGCAGCCTGTGCCAAAAAAAGCACTGGCTCTGGTGGCTAATTCTGCTGCTGCAGTGGTTCCTACAAATGGTTGTCAATTCTGATGTCTTGTGGCCTTGCTGCATTCCTCCCAGGCTTCCACCCAGACATGGCAAGCTTCAAGTTGAAAACATTATTATGGCAGTGGATTTCAAAGACTGGGGGAACCACTGCCTGCTCTGGAGGCTTTGGGGAGAAGGAAATGGTGTGTGTAAAGAGGTGCAGAGGGGATAAACCCAGCAGTGCTGCTTCTGGAATGTGTCATTGGAATGTTTCCCTGCTATAGTGTTGTCTTAATAACCCAGCAGTTTAACACAGGGAAAATCAGATCATGTGCTTTAGAATTAGTGTTACAGAAAGGATGTCAGAGATGCCAGCAGTAAATCCTGCCTGGCTTTTTCAGCTTGCTTCTTTGAAGTGGCCATTTGGTTCTTACCTTGCATCAGCACAAAGAATGTTTAAAATGGCTTTGCCACATGGCTGTGCAAGATGTGACTTTTGGCACATCTTTTGTGCATCCCCCTTTCCTAGTTATCAGACTGAAGCCTTGCTTCCAAAAATAGGGAACGTTAAAGAGCCCATTGTAAAGAGTAAGTCCTCTATGAGGAGGAGGAGGAGGCAGTGAAAGAAGGGGAGGAGAGTGGCCCTTAAGAGGCTGACCAAATGTACACACAACAAATGATTCTGCTTTGGGTTCAATTCGAAGTCCAAACCAAACTGATTGAAGCTTTTCTCTGGGAACTAATGACTGGTTTATCTGAGCATAAATCAAGTTTTATACAGATGTATAATCAGGGGAGTTCCTAAAGCCCACTTTCAGTTTGTGTGTGATCCATTGTCCCTCTGACCCTTGTGAAAGGGTTGTGGGGTTTTTTGTTCAGTCTGGATCTGACTTTATCCCCGTTGTCCTTGGGAATGTTGGATATCCTGCACCTTGGATACTTAGCTTTCTGCAGTATGTATATTCCAGAAATGAGCATGCAGAATGCTTGTCCCCCTGGCTGTGATTTGGAATTGGGTGCAGCCGGGCTGTGAGGTGGTTGGGTGCCGTCATCTGTGAGTCTCAGTTAGGTTACAGCTCAGTGGTCCTGTGCTGTGCTGGGGGAAACAAAGTTTAACCTCTATTTAGTGGTCAAGTGGAAGTTGTAAATGCTTCTTAAGGCACAGTAACGTACTCCTATGGCTCAGAGGGCAAATTAGCTTTTCCAGGCACGTGTTTAAGGTAACTTGGTGTCGTTTGATGATGCTTGCAGTTTACTCCTGCCTTCAGTGGTGGTTCTGTTGTCTTCTGCTCTTCAAGAGCTCTTCCTTTCTTTCTTAAACACTTCAAACACTAATTTGATGTGCTTTAATGTCTGAACACACAGAATAAATGCTATGGGAAGTATTTAGATTTACCAATGAGATGAATTCTTTAAACTTGTTTCCAGAGAGCAGTTTGCTTAAACCCCAGCATTGCTGCTCGATCTTTGACGTGCGCAGTAAACGCCTGCTTGTGTTTTGCTTTCTCACTTTCTCTTTGCAGTCATCCTACTCCCAGCTGCTGGCAGCTACCTGCCTTACCAAGCTCGTGTCACGCACAAACAACCCGTTACCGCTGGAACAGCGAATAGATATCCGTAAGTGCAAGGCTCACTTCTTCTAATCACACCAGTGGGAATGTCCTGTGGGCCTTCACCCATGGCTGGCAGGTTTTCTGCAGCCTGCTGGGCTTTGCACGGACATCCTGGGGTACGGGATGCCCAAAAGGCAAAGAAACATTTCTCTGTCTCAAGAGTTCAAGGCTACATATAGTGAGATTTTCTGGTGGGAAGGGAGTGACAACGTTATGGTCTTGCAAATAAACCAGTTGCACTTGATGAAGTTTTTTTGGGTATAAAGTAAGCGTGGTGCTTGCCTCTGCTGAGGACATGCTGTCCAAACTGCACATCCTTCCTGGGCCTCTGAAATACCAGTTAGGATATATCCGAAGGGGACAGTCAGTCTGTCTCGGTGCTCTTTCCTGGAGAACTGCCTTTCCCCCAGAGAGGGAGCCTGAATTCCATGGAGTCTGCTTTCTTCTTCACAAATGATGCGGTAGATGATCATCCCTGAGGAAAGGTCTTGAAATAGCTTCAGCTTTTCCTGCTATTTACATATGTTTGCAGAGGAGTGGACTTCATCTGGTAATACAAACCAAGCTGGGTTTGTGGGGCAGAACGCTCACCTGCCTCTAACCACTTTCCAGATCTGTTCCACAGCTTTCGTATGTTAAAGGCACAAGTAAAAGGGCAATATTTGTATCTGACCCACTACTGGTTGTTTTTTGAACTGCTTTCCTAAAGCAGTGTAACCATCTCAGTCCCTTCTGCCAAGTTTTCCTCTACAGATACTTCTTCTCTCTGTTTCAGGGAACTATGTGCTCAACTACCTTGCCACGAGGCCAAAGCTGGCAACATTTGTCACGCAAGCACTAATCCAGTTGTATGCCAGGATCACAAAGTTGGGCTGGTTTGACTGTCAGAAGGATGAATATGTCTTCAGGAACGTGATCACAGATGTCACAAGGTTTTTACAGGTCAGATTTTCTTTGTGAGATGAATACACACCTTGTGGCATTTGCAAGGCCGTGCACTTCCAGCTATTGTTTTGCACCTCAGTATCCTCTGTCCACTCCTTCATCTGGGCATTTGTTGGTGGAATAGTGACTGGCAGGGCTGAGCAGCTGACAACTGGCAGGACAGGTCAGTGGTTTACAACTTGAAGCTTGGTGGGGCAGAGGTTTATTTCTGGATGCTGCCACCATTAGTATGCAGTGGTTAAGACCCATCTTTTAGCGTTCCAGTTGCACAATTCTTCTTTCAAGCTTCAGTACACCCTGCTGATGAGTGCAAAATGGTAAACACGTGGGTTCATTGTCTAGGAGGGAAATAATGTGCCATGCTTGACTTGCTCCCCTTCACTGCAAGGGTGATACATGCCTGGAAATGGGGTTTGATATTTAGCTGAGTTATCGTAACGAAATGTAGCTCAAAACTAGCGTGTTAAACATGTTCCTGTTTCAGATTGTCTTTACAAGCCTCTTGGTTCATAAACATACATGCTGCCACCACAGTATAAGGGATTCATTCCCAATCCAAAAGACTGTATAGGTGGAAGGTTGCGTTTTTATCAACAGCTATCTCCAAACTGAACCTTCGTCCAGAGAGATCAGTAGCTCCTGTATCACTATGAGTACTCATTTATTTGCTCTGAAATTGTCCCAAAATTCAAAGTTGGAGGAAGACAGTGAGCTCAACATGACCAGAAACTGTTCCCAGTGTGGAAAAGGAGGTATAAGATGTACGAGGCTTTAATTCAGCAGTGGCAGAGTGTGTGTATTTAGACAACTGGCTAACTACTAGGATTTCGGGCATTTACAGGTGTCTGTGGTGAAGTAGGATCTAGAAGCTCAGTAATTTTAAAGCTCATGCTCCTTTCTGGGCTGGTAACCATGTCCCAGGTAGTTTGCAGATGCACTTAGCTGAAGTGGTGAGGACTAGATTCCTCTTTCTCCTGGCTGATGACATGGGGAATGTGTGCTGCTTAATCAGGACCCTCACTGCGTGGAATCCATGTGCAGGTGGAGATGGGCTATTCCTGCAGGCTCAAGTTTCCTGTTCTGGCTACTCTAGTGTACAGGAACCTGCCCTTGATCTTAAAGCTCTGGTTCAGCAAGGTTTGCCAGTGGCTTCTGTCAGATATTATCCTGTAAATACTGAGATTGTCATCAGGAGCTGGCTCCAGGAAAGAAGTGGCCATGTCCCAAGCCTAAATATGCCTCAGTTTCTCTCTTGCAGCCAAGTTGAGCTGGGGATCAGGGCAGTTTGTGCAGGAGGTGCAATGCGAGGTGGAGCTGGGAAAGGAAACATCATTTATTAGTTACAGAACAGAAACTGGGGCAAAGGAACAGCAGCCCAGGTTGTTTCTCTTCAGTCAGTTGATAAATGGATTAACGTTCCCAGTGAGGAGGTGTCTGTGACAGGCTCAGCTCACAATTGGCCCCTTGTTGGGAGTCTCCAGTGCAGGGAGTGGAGAGTGGAGTCCCTGCACGGGGAGATGGGCTCTGCCTGGCAGGAGGGTGGCTGCAGAAACCTGGTCAGCTGCTGCTTGTGGTGTTCAGGGTCTGGAGTTCAGAAAGGGGGAGGATTTATTTCCCAGAGTTTTTATCTGGCAGTTTTAATACTCATCCCACACAGCCTCTGTTAACATGAAACTGACTTCAGAAAACACATCTTTTCAGAGCTCAGGCATGACACAAAATAGTTGATTAAACTATTAAATAAAAGGAGCCTGGTTTTATTAGCTTATATCCCCCAACTCTTCAGACCCCTTTGCATTGTTCACAATACCCTGCATTCCAAAAGCGCGTTTAAAATTCTCCTTTGATGTTGCTCATGGGGGTTTTCCAGTCACAATACTACAAAAATAAAGCACTTGTAGACAAACGTGTCTTCCAAGCAGAAAGGTCTCTGTGCTGCTGAAGCTTTCTAGCCCCCGGCGCTGCTAACTGCATTCCCTGTCCCTTTGCTTCCCCAGGATAGTGTAGAGCACTGCATCATAGGAGTGACAATCCTGTCCCAACTAACTAATGAAATTAATCAAGTAAGTGCTACAGCCTTCCTCAGTGAAGTAAGTGTCCCAATTTTCTCATTCATATTGTTGTGTCCTGCTGTGTGGTGTCGGGGGGTTTGGTTGGGGTTTTGGTGTGGGGATGTTGTGTTGGGTGGTGTTCTTTTTTGTTCTGTTGTTGTTTTTACCCAGTCACTGTTGTGGTGGGATGCTGAAACCTCCTGTCCTGAGGAACTGTTTTGTTTCACTGGCATCTTCCATCTTCTCCCATATTTTGATGTAATTTCAGATAGGATCATGCAATCCCAGACTGTTTGTGTTGGAAGGGACCTTAAAGCTCCTCCAGCTCCAACCCCTGCCCCGGGCAGGGACACTTTCCACTAGAGCAGGTTGCTCCAAGCCCCTGTGTCCAACCTGGCCTTGAACAGTGCCAGGGATGGGGCAGCCACAGCTTCTCTGGGCACCCTGTGACCATTTCCTTGCCCAGGCTTTTGTACAACCCCAGCTCCATCTCCGTGGAGGCTGGTCCTTCACCTCCTTGAAGCAAGTCTGATGACCTCTAGAAATGATTCTGTTTCTGTCAGCATCTTTGTCCAGTGCTACACTCCTGCTTGCAGGAGGATGGTCAGCACAGAAGCTGGCACCTCTCCCAGTTCCAGTCTCTGCAGGTTGATACTAGAATAAGCAATGAAGTTAAAGCCTGATCAGAGATGTCTTCCTAGGATCTTGGCTATCAAACCTGCCACAGTTTACTACTCCTTCCTAAACATGCTCTGTGCCAGCGATTGCTCAGGGCTGGATTCAGTGACTCATCTGGGAAAGTCTAAAACTGCCATTACTTGCAAAATAATAAATGTGCCAACATGCCCACTCATCAGTGTGGTCCTGTGTGTGTGCATAGCAAAACCCACCCCAAAGCTCCCTCCTGGGGCTTCTCTTGGTAACTAGTGAACTTTCCAACTACATTGCTCGAGAGTTGAATTTTTCCTCGAGCTCTGTTTGCTGGGGTGCTTGTTCCATAAGCTCCCAGAACAGATAAAGCAGAGTGCTGGTCACTGTTGTGAAGTCTCACCTTTCATCCTGTGAGTACTGCACAGGCTTGCTCGGAGGTGCTGAGTGTCCCCTATGCTGCAGCAGGTCGCTGGTGAAAGCCATGTGGCCTCCTGGTGAAGAAAAAGAGAAATGCTTATTCCCCATGAGCCCAGACACACGTGAGATCTGCAGTGACCACAGAGAGGAAATAATGCTCATTTCCTTAAAGAGCCTTAAATCCAATAGCATGAGGTGAGGGATGTAATTCAGTCATTAGAGCACCTGACAAATACAGGTTCAGTTCTGGTCTGCCACCAGCTACTGGCTGATGCAGGGCTGCTTCTCACCTGTAATATGAGAGACGAGTGTTTGCATCCTCCATGGGGTTGTTGTGATGGTTCATACATTGAAGTGAGGTCTACGTGGTTAGAGCTGCACTGACTCCTGCAATGCTGGATGAGAAGGGTGCATGTTTAAGGTTAATGGAGGTGTACTAACAAAAGCTTAAGGAAAATGGAGCTTCACATTGTGTGCCTCTGGTTGAACCCAGTGGAGACTTTGTTATCCAGTGTAAAGCACTTTGTGTGGATATGCCTCTTGGATCTCATCTCAGCTTTTTATTCTGCTCCAGTGAGAGGTCCAGAACTGGAGCTTACTGTGATAGGTACAGCAAAGTCCAAACTGGCTGGCAGTGGTTAACTGTCCTTCTAGTTTCTTCTCATCTGTGCAGGTTCAGGAGAGGATTTAGAATTGCTGGGAGTTGACCATGTGTCTGCCCAGGGCTTCAGGTAGGATTTAACTCTCAGGAGTTTGGAGCACTTTAGAAAGCAGTGGTGGAGTTTCTAAAATGACCGAAGTGCTGTTGATGCTGCTTTGGAAGAGGTTGAAATGAACATGAGAATAAATCCAATCCTGCTGTCAGGCAGGGTGTCGGGAAGCTGCAGTGTAAGTATTGTAGGTGGAAAGTCCTGTCATCAGCAATATGATGTTATCCGTGGAGGAACCATCGCATGGTGCATCCCCTGGAGCAGCCAAGCGGTGGGACATCACTCTGGGGAGGGAGACGTGGGTGTCCCAGGGCTTAACAGGGCTCCACCAGGTCCTGCTGCTCTTGTGCCACCTCTGCCCCTCAGCTCTAAGCACTGGTTTTCTCTCTGCTCAGGCGGATACTACTCATCCACTGACCAAGCACAGGAAAATAGCCTCTTCCTTCCGTGATTCGTCTTTATTTGATATTTTCACACTGTCATGCAATTTACTGAAACAGGTAAGGAAACTGTCATTTGGCATCTCTTCTGGGGCTGCATGTGGGGCAAGAGGCTTTGGGCAGAAGTTCCCTCTGATGGAACTCCCGTGGAACCAGCGCTGCTCTTCTGGAAGGGGCGTTCTGGGCTTGTTCTTCAGGAAAGCTTTGAGCTTTGTGTTAAAGGTTAAAAAAGAAATGAACATGACACAAATAAAGAAATAGAACTCTTCTCAATTCTGATCTGGACCGTGAGGCTTGGGTTAAACTTTGTGTCTTAAAGCACCAGGAAAGAGATGAGATGTTTGGTTCCCATTTTAAATATCTGATTTACAGGGCTGGCAGAGAGGTTTCCTGTTAAATAAGTCCTTGTCTCTTTTTTAACCTCACTTTAAAACCCATGTGGTGAGATAAGAAATGCCAGAGAAGACACATCTGGTAGCCTGAGACTGAAGCTTGTCCTGGACGTTTTAACCCATAATAAATATCCGCTTGTCTGGTGTTGCCCAGGTTTTTAGTTTGTTCTCATTATCACACAGGAGGTAACCTGCTTTAACAATACTCCTGGGCCAAGGCAGCAATGCTCTGCTACTGGGGTTGGGGTCGTGCCCCAGGAAGGCAGGTTTTCTCTCCGCTGAAGCAGCACATCTGTATTTTTAAGCAGGTAGAAGAAAATCTTTATTCTGCATCGGGTTTCTGTTCTAAAAAGCTAATCTGGAGTTCTGATGTGCCTTCAAGAACAGCCCTTCATGGGAAAGGCTGCCCCAGTAAGAGCACAGATGTGATTAGTTTCACTTTTATCCCTCCAGCTGAGGTGTCAAAGTTGACAAATAGCACAAAGAATGAAAAGGAGATGTTATTTTAAAGCTGTTTGGAATGAGCAGCTCTGGTTCTGTCAGGAACAGAGGTAGGGATGTGGGTGTCATTTCGTCTTTCTTCTCCTGGGTTCCAGAGGAAGCAGGGCTTGTACAGGGATGCCAATCACCCTTTCCCATCCTCCTGAGCCGCAACAGCTCTGATAACTTCTGCATTCACTGGCTTCTTTCAGGTGCATTTGATGGTTAAATAGAGATCTCAAGTAAAAGGATTCCTCTAGGTTAGTGAACAGCAGCTCCTGGGGAGGTGCAGGGCAGAGGCCTTGTAACTGCCCAGGCTTGTTGGGGAAAATTCAGCAAGTGCCTGTGCTAAGCCCAGAGGCATAAACCAGACCTGGGACTCCCAGACCTGCACTCCTGCTGCTGCCCTGTACCTGGCCTTGAACACTGCCAGGGATGGGGCAGCTACAGCTTCTCTGGGCACCCTGTGCCAGCGCCTCAGCACCCTCCCAGGGAAGAGCTTCTGCCCAAGAGCTCATCTCAATCTCCCCTTGGCCTGTCCCTCCATCCCTTGTCCAAAGCCCCTCTCCAGGTTTCCTGGAGCCCCTTTAGGCACTGGAGCTGCTCTAAGGTGTCCCCTTGAGGAGCCTTCTCTTCTCCAGCTGCCCCAGCCCAGCTCTCTCAGCCTGGCTCCAGAGCAGAGCTGCTCCAGCCCTCACAGCAGCTCCGGGGCCTCCTCTGGCCTCGCTCCAGCAGCTCCACGTCCCTCTGATGCTGTTGCCTTAGAGCTGGACCAGGTCTGCAGTTTTGGGGCTTATTTTGTTATTATTTTGGGGATTTTTGGTTTGGTTTAAGCACAGAGTGATAATACAAAGGATGGACAGGCTGGCCTGTCCCTGGAGTCCAGACCCAAATGCTACATTTTGGCTGCAGTGAAATGACCTGGCATTTTGTGTCCATTGAGTTCTTTGTGTTACTGGAGAGTATCCCTGTGTTCCCTGCCTGTGGCAGAGTGTGTAACCAGAGCAGGGCTTGTGCAGATCATCTGTGCAGCAGAAGTGAAGGCACTCATTTCCATAGGAGGGGTAGGTGGAGCAACAGGATTCCCTGCTGTGAAGTGCTCCTCAGGCAGGAAATGTATTCTTGTGTTTAACCTTAATAAGGACTTCCTTATCTCCGGAATCTCGTGGTATGATTGCATGCTGGCAAGCCTGGCTAGTTTTCCTCCTGTGCAGTACAAGCTGAGTGAAAACGAAAGTGCTGTTTATCCATCTCCTGTGAAGATAAAGCACGTTTATACACATGCTGTCTGTGAAAGTATGTGATCACTGGGGTTGGTGCTTGTGGCGTATGATCCTTCTGATTGCCACGTTCTGTTTCAAGTTAAATTACTGCCTCAGACTCAGCTGTCACCTTGATTTCTTTTTCCTTTCTGTAATCCCATGTCTTTTATAGGCTTCTGGGAAGAACCTGAACCTGAATGATGAGAGCCAGCACGGGCTGCTCATGCAGCTGCTTAAGCTCACACACAACTGCCTGAACTTTGATTTCATTGGCACATCAACAGACGAGTCCTCAGATGATCTTTGTACTGTGCAGATCCCAACCAGTTGGAGATCAGGTAATCTGGCTATGATCTGCGCCACAGCAGCTGAGAGCAGGGGTGACCTGCTCCATCCCTTGTTGTACTGCAATAAACGGCCATGCAGGATGTCAGGTGTAAAATCCAGCCTTTCCTTAGTGCCATTGCAAATGCAGTTCAGTTGGGGTTGCTTCTCTTGAGCTACAAAAACCCCCTCTGCCCTTCCAGTCTTCCACCTGCCAATTCAGGAAACAGCAAATGGTTGGTCTGCTTTAGAAATGGCAATACCAAGTGACTGGGCACCTGCTCTCAGCATCCTTGCTGTTCTCACCAGTCACTTTGCAGGCAGTTTCACAGATTGCGTGCTTAAAATATCTCCCTGTAATTTTGTCTTAGCAGCAAGTACCAGGAGGTTTACTTTATTTCTAGGAAAGGCAATTGGGTAAAAATGTCAAATCTTTTGGGAATGTTCTCCCAGAGTGGTGCTTCACATGACAGTACACATGCCATGGTTGGTAAGCTGAGCTTTACACCTGTGGAAAGCAGTAAATGGAGGTGTTCTCAAGATAATGCTCTGTTCTCTTTCAGCATTCTTGGATTCTTCAACCCTTCAGTTGTTTTTTGATCTTTATCATTCCATCCCTCCTTCGTTTTCTCCTCTGGTAAGTTCAGTGTTTATTTCCCTTACAGACTCCACTACCAGACAGCATGTGTAGGATTCATCTGGGAGACTCCTGTTGATTAAAATGCCTTAGGCTGGCTTCAGACAGCTGCCTCCACACTGATGACACTGCCTCGTGCTGCAGTGACAAAGGATCCAGTGCTGCTGCTTGTATCTTGATGCGTCTGCAGGTTTAGGTTTGACCTAAGAGCAGCTTATTTGCTTCCAACCCGCTTCCTTGTCCTTCCATAGCTTAGAGCCTGCCTGCTCACTCTTCCAGCCAGCCCTTTTTGAGGCATGCTATTTCCACTGCACTGCTGAGTTGATCCTAAAAGCATACTGCGAGTAGGTAGGGAGCACAACCGAGGAATGTTGTTTCTGCTTCCACACTTTCAAACTAGGCCATGTCCCACTTGGATGAAGTGGCCAATAGAACAGCTGAACTCAAAGTTGGATTATTTCTTCTTGGAAAAAAAAAAGACTTGCCTGCCAGACATTGCTCTGTGTGATAAGTACTTCTCATAACTGATGCCACAATGAAGAGGTGCCCTTTGGCAAGGGAGGAAAGGGGCCTCCAGAGGTACTTTTTCCTCTGAGACTCTCAGCACTGCTCATGATGTTGAAGGGTTACTCACTAGTTCTGAATCTAGAGCCTTAAATATTCATGAGAGATTGTAATAGTGTGAGGTTTCCTTGTATTCTTGTTATTGAATAGAAATCTGAAGCAATTTCACCTTTAATTGTGCTGCCTCTGTGATCAGTGAGTGCAGGAGCCAGCAAGAGAAAGGCTGAGCAACTGAACAGTCAGAGCTGGTCAGAGGGAATGGGGTTTTGCCCCTGGATAAGGCTTGCAGGGTGCTAGTCCTAACTAACTGCTGCTGCTCTTCCAAATCCTATTCACTACCCTGTTACTACTGCAGCTGCACCCTGGGAATTTGCTCTGGATTTAAATTCCAGAGGGTGGGTTGAGAACAACTTCATTTATTTTTATTCCTGCCTTTCATTCTGCCTCCAGAGATACTTCTCCAAGTCTGAGTTAAGTTCAGCAGCTTTCCCTGCCAATCCGGGGGTATTTTCAGTCTGATGCAATCTGTATCCTCCATCTGAAGAAATCCCAGCATTTTTGGGAGCAGAGTTTGGAACACACCTTTGATATACCCAGATGACACAGAATTGCAAAGAGAAGGAGCTGTTACATAGCGTGTGAAGGAGCAGCAGACTGAAATGATTCCTTATGTCATGAAAAGGAAACGTGCTGTTCACTTTACTGCTCTGATCCCTCCCTCTTTATTCTCTGCCCCTTCCAGGTTTTATCCTGCCTGGTGCAGATAGCCTCTGTGCGCAGATCCCTCTTCAACAATGCAGAGAGAGCAAAGTTCTTATCTCATCTCGTGGATGGAGTGAAACGAATACTGGAAAACCCCCAGGTGAGTATTTGGATGCAGGCAGTGGAATCTGGTCTCTGCTTACTCAGCATCATGGGTTTTCACCACAAATACTTTCTAATGTGTGTCCCCCACTTGTAGCACTGGAGTGAAGGGTGCAGCATAGAATCCCAGACTGGTTTGCGTTGGAAGGGACCTTAAAGCTCATCTAGTCCAACCCCTTCCACTAGAGCAGGTTGCTCCAAGCCCCTGTGTCCAACCTGGCCTTGAACACTGCCAGGGATGGGGCAGCCACAGCTCCTCTGGGCACCCTGTGCCAGCGCCTCAGCACCCTCATCTTGCTGCTCTCTTCCTTTTCCTACCATTTCACCATCACTCTGCCCCTCCAGTAGCTGACCACCAAGCACCGGGGAGTGTTTCTCAGTTCTTCTCCTCTTGTTCTCCTCTCAGAGTTTGTCAGACCCAAACAACTACCATGAGTTCTGCCGGTTGCTGGCCCGGTTGAAAAGCAACTACCAGCTGGGAGAGCTGGTGAAGGTGGAGAACTACCCCGAGGTCATCCGGCTCATTGCCAACTTCACCGTGACCAGCCTGCAGGTACAGAGCGGTTCTACTCACCCTCGAGGGGCATTCGTGCCCCTTGTCTTCAGACAAAATCACAACCCTCTTGGCTGTTCTTTGCCCTGTAATTTGCTGGCTGTTATTTTACCACAAAGCCCCTCAGGCTCTGGCAGAACCCTGTGGTGGAGCATTGATGATTCTCTGAATTCCTCCTGAATGGAGCAGGATGTGAGGGAAGGCAGAGTTGCTGTTCCTCCAGAGCCTTCCCATGTCCTAGCAGGGGGAAAAAACCCAGCTTGTTAAATAAGGTTTATTTTTAGACTTATGTATCAATCACTTTTAAAATGCAGTTGAAGGGATTGCTTGTAGCATTAATATCATGCCACATTCCCACTGTGTTTTCCACTGGTGGATGCAGCTTCTAACTGCGCCCCTGCACAGAATATGGTCAAGAAAACTGTACAGCTTGCATAATGCCTTTGTCTCCTAAATCTTAATGTTTATCTGGAGAACAGTTTTAAGCTGTACATTCATTCAATTGGGGGAGCTGTTTGCAGCAGGCTACAGCATGAGCTCAGCAGCAGTTTGGGACCAAAGGCTTTGGCTCAGCTGCACAGCCCAGGAACTAAGGATTGTCTGTCAGTGTTCACTGGATGCTGATAATGCCTCTTGCATTCAGGTGGGAAATACATTGCTCACATTGACACCCACATCATAGCTTCTAGATATTGCCTTATCTGTGCTGGACTCACGGAGTCCGAATAATCTGAGTGAAAGAACCAAGATCATAACTTGGTTTCCTTGGCCTCTCTCCTCCTTGGTTTCCTTGGCTTCTCTGCTCCCTGCTTTCCTGGCCCTCTCTCTCCTGCAGCACTGGGAGTTTGCCCCGAACAGCGTTCACTATCTGCTGAGCCTGTGGCAGCGCCTGGCTGCGTCAGTGCCCTACGTTAAAGCCACAGAGCCTCACATGCTGGAAACATATACCCCAGAAGTCACAAAAGCTTACATCACATCCAGGCTGGAGTCTGTGCACATCATCCTGAGGTAAGCAGAGCAGAGGGATGGCAGCAGTCTGCCTGCCAGCACCAGGCTGACACAGCAGGCTCCAGTGTGTTTCCATTCTGAATTCTTGTTTAGAAATGGGCATGGCTGCAGGAAGTTCTGTGAGTCACCACTGGTTCCTAAGGCTGGTTCACCTAAACTGCATATTCTGCCTCTTACGAAAAAGAAATGTTTGTTTTAAGCTGGGTTTTTTGAGACCTTGCTCAGTCTCAGATGGCTGAGATTGATCTGAGTGGTCTTTGGTTATGTGTAGAATTCATCTTACCTGTTATCAAACATCTGCAGCATACCATTTACACTGCCATCGTAGCAGAGAGGAATATGTACACAAAGTGTGACTCAGTTGTTATATCTCTGCTGCAGGATGGCAAAATTATACCTTAAAGTGTCTTCTTTTTTTTTTTTTCCCCTGTGAGTGTAAGTGCAGCTTTACAGGACTCTTCAGTGCCTGAATTTGTGTGGGATGAATTCCACCTTGTGTGTGTTTGTGTTTGATGAAGACAAATGGTCAAATAGAGTAAAATAGTGCCTCTCCTCAGGAAGACTGAGCAGCTTATCCCTCTTTAGGTGTCTAGCAATGGAAGGGGGGGAGCAGCAGGGGTAGCTGGTTCTGGAGTTTGCAATAAGCTTATTGTTGAGGTTTGTGTACTTAGAGGAAACAGCAATAAAACATGGAGAAAGATGGGAAGCTTTGTTAGACAAAGACAACCAGAGACCTTGTTCTTGGCACTCCACATTCTGTTCAAAGACCTGGATGAATGTTAAAGATGTAAGAAGAGCTTACTCATCCCAGGTCCCAATGGCCTTCCCACCTGAGCCACTGCTGTGCTGATTTATGGCCACAGTAACAGTCAAATGATTGCATCGGTTGATGCAGCTCTTCACCCTGGCAAAGGGCAGAGGTAGAGACTTGAGTCATTGGAATTGTTGTAGGGCTGAGAAAGCATCTTCTGCATGATAGAAATAAGCTTATGTTGTTCTACAACCCTGGAAGAGTGTTGGAAGAGACCTTAAAGCTCCTCCAGCTCCAACCCCTGCCCCGGGCAGGGACAC